GTTCTTTAATGGTTATAAAAGGTGTTGAGCCAAAAACAAAAATTTGATTACAAACCTGCTGAAAAATGCAAGTTTCTTCACTTGGATTATTTTGACAAGAGCCTGATTCCACCACGCTGCCTCACTTATTATTATAAAGAAAAGGAAGGGGATAAAAGCCAACCAATCGGTTCATGTCTTTCCTTACAACACACATGTATTTGGAATTGGTGCATTTTGCGTTTAGGGGTGGGGGTTTTTTTTCCTTGAGTTTTGAGCCATTTTTGTTGTAAAAAAATAAGTCTCACCTTCATTCATTTTATATCAAACAAATTCCTTTTGAATTAATAATTACGTCTGTTCCAAATTAAAATCTAGAACAATTTTTGTGCGAGTTATTCAGAATAAAAGTTGTAAAGGTGTTGGGTTTTTTTCTAAATCATCCTGTACATTGAGTCTATTGGGGCAGTATTGACCATCTGCAATCAACAGTGTATAAATATAAAAAGGTTTTAGTAAGAGTTTTACGCTCTTGCAACACAATAAGGTCATATAAGTGCCGAAGATTACAGGTATTACAAGAGGGTAACAAACACAAAATTGAAGGAGAGATAAGGACGATAGATGTTTGACAGGAAAAAAGAAGCAAACCCTCCATACACACATACACATAAACAAACACACACAAAGATACACACAACACACATACAAAACACACAAAGACACATATACATACACCTGTAAAACAAACAAAGATAAATACACACACATAAACAAAAACATACAAAGATAAATACACACACATACACATAAAAAACACACAAAGATATATACACACACATAAACAAAAACACACAAAGATAAATACACACACATACACATAAAAAACACACAAAGATAAATACACATACATACACATAAAAAAACACACAAAGATAAATACATACACATTAACAAAAACACACAAAGATAAATACACACATATACACATAAAAAAAACAACAAAGATAAATACACACACATACACCTGTAAAACAAACACAAAGATACACACACACACACAAACACAAAACACACACCTACACACACATAAAAAACACACAAAGACACATACACACAAGGATACACATAAAATCTCAAAGAACGTTTTCGTGAATAAATTGAATGTTTATTTTGATGATACAGCACTTCTACCCGCTCACATACTGGGGGTATACACGCAGTAGACACACTTGGGGGGGGG